ATATTTTTAGTTGTCCGATTAATTTCTTTCTATTTTTAGTAGAGACGGGGTCTCACTGTTGCTCAGGCTGGTCTCGAACTCCTGAGCTCAAATGATCCTCCCGCCTCGGCCTCCCAGAGAGCCAGGATTACAGGCGTGAGCCACCGCGCCCGGCCCATTTGGTCCTTTTTCAACTGCAGTCTCTGAGGACATCGGACACAACTGTCCTCTGTCCAGGCTGCTCCGTCGGTGGCGTCTGGGGCCCCTGGGATCCCTCCCGTTGGTCCTCGAACATCGACACCGATGCCGGCGTCACCCTTGGGGGGCTGCCTCCCCCTCACAGCGTCACGTAGGAGCTGTCGTTCATCACGAATGTGAAGCCCCCCACAGAGACCATGTCGCCACCTTGCGGGGCCCGGCGAGCGAGCTGGGGGGAGCCCCCAGAGGACTCCCCCTCCCCCGTCCTCGGGGTCAAGGCATCCACGGTGGTGGGCGTCTTGGCCAGCTGTACGACCAGGACGTCCTCGGGGCCACAGTCCCGCTCCCCGCCGCTGCCCATCTTGTGCAGCTGGGCCACGTTCTGCGTGTCCTTGATCCACTCCTGCGGGGACGGAACGGGGTCCGGCTCAGCCCCAGTGGAGACACGGCTTCGAGAACCCACCTGAGCCTCCCTCTGGACCAGCCGTCCCCAGCCTCTGTGGCGCCAGGGACCGGAAACATAGAAGACGATTTTTCCAGGCGCTGCTGAGCAGGGGGATGATTCAGGCAGGCTGCATTTATTGGGCAGTCAGACCTCTCTGCTAACGATAATCTGTGTGACCGGGTTCCTAACTGGCCTCCACTGGTACCAGTTTGCAGCCCCGGGGGCTTGGGGACCGCAGCTCTAGACAGAGAAACCCCCTTGTTTGCAATCTCTGAGCTCCCATGAACCTCCCGTTCGGGGCACAGAGCTTGTACTAATTTCAGACCAGCATGGAATATTCAGAAACTGGTGATGTCCCAAGGGCTGTTTATAAAACACCCCTCCTGAGCCCCAGATAAGAAAGTCAGATTCCCCCCGGCCAAGTATGTCCTCTGAGATGAGGTGACTTTTCTTCCCTCTGCCGCCGACCTCCGGTGCCTGTGTGAAAGTTCGAGGGGGAGGAAACTTCTCCAACCGCAGTAATGTGCACAGAAACCAGCCGCGTCTGCTTAGAGGCAGAGCTGCCTCCGCAGGGCGCGGTGGGGCCTGGGAGTCTACATTTCTTGCAGACGCCCCGGTGATGTCCCGGAGGCCACCCAGGAGCAGGAGGCTCCACGGGGCTCCGGCCCAGCACCAGGGTCCCGTCCCCTGCACGGCCTCCCTTCCCTCCTTCTTCTTGTCCTAGCGTTTAAAACGTCAGATTTTCCAGAAAACGGTCTCCCTTCTCCCTGGAAGGGGAACAAGAGGCCGCCTCAGATATTGCTTTTTGGCATAAAGATTGTTTTGAGCTGAAGGCCGTTGAGAAACGGCAAACGCAGGAAGAGCCCCCTGACCTCCCGCCTTCTGCCTAAAAGCAGGGCATGCATTTCCCTTTTGAAAGGCAAATTTTCATTTGTAAGGGTGTCATTCTCTCCCTTAGACATTGCACACAGCTCTTATCACCCGGGAGGACTGGAGTCTGCATAAGCGACTTTAATAGGCAACCCTGTATACCTTACATTTCCCAAAACTTACCCCGTTCCCAAGCCCGAACACCCTGTTCCTTTGTCTAGCCTCCTCTTCACACTTCACTGCCCTTTGTTAAAATGATACATGAGCCCCCAGGCCCAACCATCTGTTTGCAATTTCACTTTTTTTAGGTGAGGGCCCTGCGCATTCGAAATAGACCTTTTCTCCTGTTAATCTGTCTTTTCTCCATTTAATTAGCAGGCCCCCGTAACTGAACCTAAGAGTGTAGGAAAAAAGGTTCGGTTTGTTTTTCCCCGTCCCTGAACTTATTTGGAAAAAGGGGTCTTCGTAGATGCAATTAAGTGAAGGATCTCGAGATGAGACCATCCTGGAGTAGGGAGGTCCCTAAACCCAGTGACAGGCGTCCTCCTAAGAGACAGCAGAGGAGACACAGACGCAGAGGAGAAGCCACGTGGAGACGGAGGCAGAGACCGGAGTGACGCGGCCACAAGCCCAGGGACGCCTGGAGCCCCCAGGAGCTGGAAGAGGCAGGAAGGAGCCTCCCCTGGAGCCTGCGGAGGGAGTGCGGCCCCGAGACACCTGTGTCTCACACTCCTGGGCTCTGGGACTGGGGGAGGACAGAGTCTTATTGTTTTTAATCCACCCGGTTTCTGGTCATTTGTGACGGGAGCCCGAGGAAAGTCACACGACTTGAGTGACACTGCAGTGTGAGACCACGCCTGGGTCTCCCTGCCCTGCTGGGCTCCTGGGCGTGGGCGCCGGCCCCCTGCCCCCCGGGTGCCCCCAGCACACACTCAGGCCTCTGTAAGCTTTCGCTCCGTGAATGAAACAACCATTGTTGTGGAGGCGGAAGTGGGTGGCTTGTTCTCAGCCCTGCAGAGGAAACACAGTAACAACACAACTTCCCCGGGAGATGCGCGGCCGATAAGTTGGCAGAGCCCGGGTGGGGGCGGGGGTCCAGTCTCCGGGGCTGACTCAAGGAGAAGCCGCAGCAACGCATTGGGAGCCTCGTGGCTTCGGTCTGTAACCAGCAGACAAAACCATGAAGCTGCTCCTTTTGTATAAAAATAAAGTTCACAGACATCTAAAGGCTGAGCCAGAGTACGCTGTTTTCCAGAATGTTCCCTGGGGGGGGCATGAGGTCGTGGGACCTGCACCTGTTCGGTGCAAGGGGAGGGCGTTACCTGGAAGTTCCCTCGGTGTTGCTCAAAGAGCCCGGAGAAGGAGGACTTGGGGTCTGGCACGCTGGGTATGAGCAGCTTCCTCACCCTGCAAGAGACGGGGCCCGGTCAGGTGGGCGGCAGCATCCGGAGCGGGGCAAGGCGCGGACTCCCGCCGGGGACCACAGATGGCTGCCACGGCCGCCTCGGACAGCAGCGCCCAGACAGAACAGTGGTCTCGTTCCCAAGGCCTGTGTCCCCCACCCCCAAGCGCCTCAGGGACCTGCCTCGGGGTGCACATGGCAGCCCCCCACCTCCAGGAGTTTGGGGTGACTGGCACAGACCTGTGCCATCTGCAAGTACTGACTCATAAATACTAAATTATAAGCATTAAATAGGAGGTGGATGTTGCAACTGTGTTGATGTTATCGGTAAATTAATTATGTCCCCTCCGAATTCATACATTGCAGCCCTGACCCCAGGACCTTGGAATGTGACTGTGTTTGGAGATGGGTCTTTAGAGAGGTGATTAAGGTGAAATGAGGTCACTAGGGTGGGCCCTGATCCAGCAGGACTGGTGTCCTTATAAGCAGAGGAGATGAGGACACAGACAGGCACAGAGGGACGACCCCGTGAGGACGCAGGGAGAAGACGGCGTCTACATGCCCAGGAGAGAGGCCTCAGGAGGGACCAGCCCTGACACCCCTTGATCTGGGACTTCCAGCCTCCAGGACGTGAGAGAACAAACGTCTGTGGTTTCAGCCTCCGGGTCCATGGGAATTCGAGGGGGTTAAATAGTCGTGTGGGAGGTTAAGAAAGGAAACTGCTCAGTATCACAGCTCTGAAAATCTCTCTACCATCTCAGAGAATATTATTTTTTTTGGCGAGGTCTATAAGTAGATTCATCAAGCTAAAAATGCAGGTATAGGTCTGACAAACGTGGTCGTAAATTTTGTGTGGTTATTCTTACCGCCCTCGCCACGTCGCCTGGTTTCATGGGTCTCGGTCAAAGTGAAACGTTGTTTTATGCACCTGTTCCTCCAAAGATGCCAGAGCCACACGGCTCTATCGGGGTCTCCCTTGGACGCAAGATGGGTTTCCATGGGAACTTAACGTACATAGATTCTGCCGTGTGCAGAGGAATCTTTTCCAGTGAATACTCCAGACATCTCTGCACCTTTTATTTTTTTTTTTTTGAGACAGAGTCTCACTGTGTTGTCCCGGCTAGAGTGCGGTGGCGTCAGCCTAGCTCACAGCAACCTCCAACTCCTGGGCTCGAGCGATCCTCCTGCCTCAGCCTCCCGAGTAGCTGGGACTACAGGCGTGCGCCACCATGCCCGGCTAATATTCCTATTATTAATAGAGACGGGGTCTCGCTCTTGCTCAGGCTGGTCTTGAACTCCTGACCTCGAGCAATTCTCCTGCCTCGGCCTCCCAGAGAGCTAGGATTACAGGCATGAGCCACCGCGCCGGGCCTCTGCACCTTTTTAAATCACGTTTGTTCTCAACTTTGGTGCAATGCATGGTTGGCAAAGTGGACATTGGGTGTGGGGACTGAGGTTCGGAGAAATGACCCACGGAGCCCCTCACTTTTTCCCCACTTCGGAGACCCGCCGCGGCCAGAGCCCGCCCCCCACGCGTGTGACGTGGCCGTGGGACCCGTCCCTACCTCCCCAGCTTCCACAGAGACAGCAGGAGAAGACACAGCGTCAGGAGAGTGACCAGGCTACAGATTAAAATGAATTTGGGGAATTTGGCGTTGACGGGCTTGTCCGGACAGGAATCTAAAAAGAAACGAAGGGACCTCCGTGAGTTTTCGACGTGGTATCTGACCCCACGCCCACTCACCCACTCCGACTTCTTTTTTCTCTGTGAATATCGGTGTCAGCAAATCTTTTTATTTTTTAATTGTCTTTAATTTGAGCATATTACGGGAGTGCAAATGTTTAGGGTGCATATATTGCCTTTGCCCCGCCCGAGTGCATTGCCGGGAGAAATATTCTAGAAAGACAGGCAGCATCCGTCTCTGGGCGGGAATGCTTCCTGCAGCCACTCCCAGGGGAAAAGGCGGGTTCAGCACAGACACTGCCAATGGGAGCTCCAGATTGCCGGGGGTCTTTTGGGAATATTGGTGCCTGCTGTTGGCTATTGGTGGCTTTTCACGTGGCATTGTTTTCCCCCCAAAAAAGAGATATGTTTAAGTCCCAGTATTGGAAACCTACGATGGAAACTTATTTGGAAATTGGGTCTTTGCAGATATGATTTAGATGTAAATTAAAGTGAGACTGTCCTGGATTAGGGAGGTCCCCAAACCCAGTGACAAGTGTCCTCCTAAGAGACAGCAGAGGAGACACAGACGCAGAGCAGAAGCCACGTGGAGACGGAGGCAGAGACTGGAGTGACGCGGCCACAAGCCCAGGGACACCTGGAGCCCCCAGGAGCCGGAAGAGGCAGGAAGGAGCCTCCCCTGGAGCCTGCGGAGGGAGCGCGGCCCCCAGACACCTGCGTCTCACACTCCTGGCCCCGGGCAGCCCCACTTCCAGGAGAGACGCCCCCACCACGGATCTGGGGAAGCCCTTGGTGTTTCCAGGCACGGCCCCGCCCCACCGTCCCCTAAAGGCAGGACGCCGCCCCGGGACCGTGCGACAAGCCTCACCCCTGGGCTGGCCTCCGTGCCAGCAGGTCACCTGCGACCAGTCGCTGGGGTACGTGTCGGGGCCGTAGCTGGCCTCTGTGGTTTTGACTCTGGCCCGGAAGCAGTAGCATTTCTGAGCGTCCAGACCTTCTATGGTGACATTGCACGTGTCCTCCTGCTTGGACTGGGGAAACACACACCATGATTAGCGGCCTCACTCAGACTCTGTACGTTAGACCCCCGGGAACGGGCTGAAGTTCCCTAAATTCGAGCATTCAAAGAACCTCCTCCCTCTGCCCAGGTCTCCATGCCAAACACGACGAGGACGACGGAGTTGGCGTGGCCGCGGCACGTCTGATAAGAAGAGGAGGTCGCGACACAGACGCACGGGGAAGAGAAGGGCATGGTAGAATCTCACACCCACAACCCCAGGGATGCCAAGAATCCCCGGCAACCACCGGGAGCTCGCACGGACCCCCGGATGGACCTCTCGTCGGGGACGCCGGAAGCAAGCAGCAGTGTTGCAACCCGAGTTCAGACTTCTGGGCTCCAAAACTGTGGCGGCGTCACCCTGGCATGATTTCAAACCACCTAGTTGGGGAGGAATTGTCACAGCGGCCTCCGGAGAGCTGCACAGGCAGAAGCCACGCAAAGGGTGACGTGTCTTGTCGTGTCATCGGGTCTCAAGGGGAGGTATCGGAGCCCGTGTCACCTCTGCGTGGTTGGAATACAATCCGTCAACGGAGCGTGGAGACACACGCGTCAGTCCTGCACCCTGCTGGGACGCGGCTTCTCCGGGGGACGTCTCTGCCGTCGTCAGCGTCCCCCGGGCCATCTGCCTGGGAAACAGCTTCCGAAACAACGGCAAGGTGCCTGTTCCCGGGCTCTTTTCTGTACGAGTGGCCGGTGGTGTCCGGAGGAGGTGGGAGGTAGGTAGCCGAAATCAGAGGGAACGAAATACAGAAATGAGCGAGATGCTCAGACAAAGTGCATCCTGTTCTGGGGAGCACAGGTCCCCAAGAGACCGTCCCACGTGACTTCCAGGTCGTGATGACAGCGTCGTGGAGGGTGGCCCACAGACAACAGACCTGGACACGTGGGCGGGTTGCTTTCCCTCGATGCACGGCGCACCTGCCTTCCAAAGCCGAGGCCCCCGTCTCGTGCAAAAGTCGCGTCGCGCAAAAGCAGAGCCTTCCCGAGTCCCCGTGAGGGGAGGCTGGGCCGTCCGTCAGCGCACTGACCCCCGTTCTGTCTCTGCAGGCGTGTCCGCCCTGGACGGCAGCACCCGTGTGGCTCCCCCGCCCCCTAGTAGGACTGGATGTGCACTGGAGCTCGCTCGGCGCTGCGCCCGACGCCTCACGTGTGATGCTTTTTGTCGACTTCGTTATCTGCATCACCCGAGCTCGGCAGACGCCTTGGCTTCCAGAACTGTGCAATCGGCGTCTCCCCGGGTCGGAAGAAGTTGGATGTTCACGTGGCCTGAAAACCCAGCCGGTGTTGGCCCTTGAACTTCAGGGGAGCCCCGCCCAGCAGGCCGGAGGGATTTGGTCTCAGGACCGAAGCAGAAACCCTGCCCCAGGTTCCAGCC